AAAGGTATATTGGACCAGATTTCCAAAAAAAATATTCTTTTTATGATAATATTAATTGCCTTTTCCCTCAAATGACAACATTTAGAGTGACGCGTCGATATTCTGCTATATTTTTGATAATAATAGTGATACTGTAAGCTGACTGGTGACCGTGAAAGCTGAAGAAATCGCTTGTTCATTTCTTTAGACTTGATCACTGTTCAAAAGTGAGGGACTGACTACCTGAAGTGAGGGACTGACCACCTGAAGTGAGGGACTGACTACCTGAAGTGAGGGACTGACTACCTGAAGTGAGGGACTGACCACCTGAAGTGAGGGACTGACCACCTGAAGTGAGGGACTGACCACCTGAAGTGAGGGACTGACCACCTGAAGTGAGGGACTGACCACCTGAAGTGAGGGACTGACCACCTGAAGTGAGGGACTGACCACCTGAAGTGAGGGACTGACCACCTGAAGTCAGACTGATTATCTTATCTGTAACTGTCACAAATGCATAATTTTTATACTTGCTTCAAAAAGACATTGACTGACGAATGTATTAGCCATAAGGTTACCCAAAGATGCACTTTACACCCCATTTAAAAATTAATCCCTACCCTCAGACTCCCTAGATCCATCTACATTAATTAAGCCATCAAATTATTCCAATAGGAAGCAGCTTACATTATGGAAGAACTTGATTTTGTAAGGGGGAGGATTAGCTTCGACTAGACAGGCGAGGAAGAGGTCACTGCCTTCCTTCATTAATTCTGAGCGACGTGGCCAGTCCACTTGTATCACGGCCTTCGGTCGGTCTGAAAAAAAAGGCCTATAGAGTAGTGTGTGTCACCTAATCATTAAATATATATATATATATATATATATATATATATATATATATATATATATATATATATATGCAAAACAACCACTGTGAAAGAGTAGTGAAATTCCAAGCGCTCTCGTGACTACTCACATTGTTCCTTGACAATGTGAGTAGTCACGAAAGCGCTTGGAATTTCACTACTATTTCACAGTGGTTGCTTTGCATATTTTAAAATCACCTTTTACTGTGATCTTATTGCATATATATATATATATATAATATATATTATATATATATATATATATATACACACCGCTATTGTTTATTGCTGTTATGATTACTGTTTTTTGTTGATATTGTTGGTAGTACTAGTAATAGTGGTAGCGTTGCTGGTAGTAGCAGTAGTCGTATATTTAGTTATCACTGTATCAGGAAGATAACCTTGTTATAGGCTATCATGCTATCATAAATCTCTGACTAGAAGCTACCACTAAACGTACTCAAAATTTCTATGATTTAACTTGTCATATTTCTAGGTGAGCCACTACTAGTGCCCGAAATCACACTTGACAGTAATCATAATGTATAGAGTAACCTTAGTTTATATGCTTTTCGCGTCTGTCTACGCAAAGTGAGATTTAAAACTCTCGTGAGAGTAGCAGTTCTTGAGTAAGGGTAGGAAGCTGTGGCGCCTGATCTTAACACACATCTCTCTCTCTCTCTCTCTCTCTCTCTCTCTCTCTCTCTCTCTCTCTCTCTCTCTCTCTCTCTCTCTCCTCTCTCCCTCTCTCCCTCTCTCCCTCTCTCCTCGTATTCCAGTATTGTCCAATATTGTTCACACAATACCCGTGTTTTGTCCGGGTATTTAAACTCCCCAGACACAACCCACACAATGCTCTCCCTTTTTCCCACAATGTCCTCTAGGGTTCGTTACAATATTTACCTCTCAGTTCCTTCCCTTGTATCTTCTCATTTACTGCAAAATTCACCCCTTCCAATTCTCTTCTTTCAGTCTTTCTCTTTCCCCTACCTCTCTTATTAAGTTCAATTCCATAAGGTTTTAGATTCCATATGAAGCCTGACCCATACGGGTTTGGCGCTTCTACATAATTTTTAGACTTTTTATTTAAAATACATCCTTATTGGCGAAAAATTAATATATATATATTTTTTTTTAATGTTAAGCACTAAACCCGTGAGAGTTGTTCAGTGATAGTAGTTATGGAGGCTCGATCCTCCGTCCTCTAGTGACGTATAGCGGCACACTGTCACAGCCTAGGAGTCAGCGTATGGGTCACAACGTAGGGTTCACCGTAGGGGTCACAGCGCAGGGGTCACAGTGCAGGGCTCACAGCGCAGGGCTCACAGGGCAGGGCTCACAGCGCAGGGGTCACAGCACAGGGCTCACAGCGCAGGGCTCACAGCATAGGGCTCACAGCACAGGGCTCACAGCGCAGGGCTCACAGCGCAGGGCTCACAACGCAGGGCTCACAGCATATGGGTCACAGCGTAGAGCTCAGCATAGGGGTCACAGTGTAAGGCTCAGCGTAGGGGTCACAGTGTAGGGCTCACAGCATAGGGCTAACAGCGCAGGGGTCACAGCATAGGGCTCACAGCGCAGAGGTCACAGCATAGGGCTCACAGCATAGGGCTCACAGCGCCGGGGTCACAGCATAGGGCTCACAGCGCCGGGGTCACAGCATAGGGCTCACAGCGCCGGGGTCACAGCATAGGGCTCACAGCGCCGGGGTCACAGCATAGGGCTCAGAGCGCTGGGGTCACAGCATAGGGCTCACAACGCCGGGGTCACAGCATAGGGCTCACAGCGCAGGGGTCACAGCATAGGGCTCACAGCGCCGGGGTCACAGCATAGGGCTCACAGCGCCGCGGTCACAGCATAGGGCTCACAGCGCAGGGGTCACAGCATAGGGCTCACAGCGCAGGGGTCACAGCATAGAGGGTCACAGCGCAGGGGTCACAGCATAGGCTCACAGCGCAGGGGTCACAGCATAGAGCTCACAGCGCAGGGTCACAGCATAGGCTCACAGCGCAGGGGTCACAGCATAGAGCTCACAGCGCAGGGGTCACAGCATAGAGCTCACAGCGCAGGGGTCACAGCATAGAGCTCACAGCGCAGGAGTCACAGCATAGAGCTCACAGCGCAGGAGTCACAGCATAGAGCTCACAGCGCAGGGGTCACAGCATAGAGCTCACAGCGCAGGGGTCACAGCATAGAGCTCACAGCGCAGGGGTCACAGCATAGAGCTCACAGCGCAGGGGTCACAGCATAGGCTCACAGCGCAGGGGTCACAGCATAGAGCTCACAGCGCAGGGGTCACAGCATAGAGCTCACAGCGCAGGAGTCACAGCATAGAGCTCACAGCGCAGGAGTCACAGCATAGAGCTCACAGCGCAGGGGTCACAGCATAGAGCTCACAGCGCAGGGGTCACAGCATAGAGCTCACAGCGCAGGCGTCACAGCATAGAGCTCACAGCGCAGGAGTCACAGCATAGAGCTCACAGCGCAGGGGTCACAGCATAGGGCTCACAGCGCAGGGGTCACAGCATAGAGCTCACAGCGCAGGGGTCACAGCATAGAGCTCACAGCGCAGGGGTCACAGCATAGAGCTCACAGCGCAGGGGTCACAGCATAGAGCTCACAGCGCAGGAGTCACAGCATAGAGCTCACAGCGCAGGGGTCACAGCATAGGGCTCACAGCGCAGGGTCACAGCATAGAGCTCACAGCGCAGGATGTTCACAGCATAGCTCACAGCAGCAGGGTTCACAGCATTAAGCTCCAGCGCAGAGTCACAGCATAGAGCTCACGACGCAGGATTCACAGCAAGATCAATGGCATGGGGTCACAGCATAGGGCTTACAAGCGCAGGGTCACAACATAGAGCTCACAGAGCAGATCACAGCATAGAGCTCACAGCGCAGGGTCCAGCATAGGCTCACAGCGCAGGGGTCACAGCATAAGCTCACAGCGCAGGGGTCACAGCATAGAGCTCACAGCGCCGGGGTCACAGTATAAACATTAATCACAATTTTTAATACCTACGGAAGGCAGCCGAAATATAGTGAAATATATTACAAATTTGATAGTGACTGATTATAGATCTATTTATTTTGATTTTCTTCTCTTTTCCATGTTCAGCTTTGTTTTAAAATTTATGTACTTATTACTATATATGATTTAATATCATTATATTATATAATATCGAAATATAATAAATTAACTTTTTAAAATATATGGATGTGGAAAAAAATTGTGAATTATCAAAAGCGACAAATGCTAAAAAATTTCCACGGGGGGTAGAATCAATGTATTTAGCTTTTTTGAGTCTCTCCTCTCATCTCTTCTGTCTCCCCTCATCCTCCTTCTTGTCTCTCGTCTCTCTGTCTCTCTGTCTCTCTGTCTCTGTCTCTCTCTCTCTCTCTTCTCTCTCTCTCGTCTCTCTCTCCTCTTCTCTCTCTCTTCTCTCTCTCTCTCTCTCTCTCTATACACACACATAATATAAAATATTATACTTATATATATATATATATATATATATATATATAATATATATATATATATATATATTAATATACACACATTATCGAACCAAGCGACACAGGATGTAAAACAACCACGGGGGGGGATAGAATTATAGCTCTAGGCCTTTCGAGTTGCAATCAACACATCAGGAGCTTGCAAAATTGCAGAAAAAAGGAGGATGTTTCGGCACGGACATCCTCCTTTTTCTGCAACTTTGCAAGTTCCTGATGATGTGTTGATTGCAACACGAAAGGCCTACTCCCCCCAGTAAGAGTAGGCCTTAGACAAGGATGTGTGATGTCACCGTGGTTGTTTAATATATTTATAGATGGGGTATGTAAGAGAAGTAAATGCGAGGGTCTTGACAAGAGGCGTGGAGTTAAAAGATAAAGAATCACACATAAAGTGGGAGTTGTCACAGTTGCTCTTTGCTGATGATGCTGTGCTCTTGGGAGATTCTGAAGAGAAGTTGCAGAAATTGGTGGATGAATTTGGTAGGGTATGCTAAAGAAGAAAATTAAAAGTGAATACAGGAAAGAGTAAGGTTAAGAGGATAACAAAAAAATTAGGTGATGAAAGATTGGATATCAGATTGGAGGGAGAGAGTATGGAGGAGGTGAATGTATTCAGATATTTGGGAGTGGACGTGTCAGCGGATGGGTCTATGAAAGATGAGGTGAATCATAGAATTGATGAGGGGAAAAGGGTGAGTGGTGCACTTAGGAGTCTGTGGAGACAAAGAACTTTGTTCCTGTAGGCAAAGAGGGGAATGTATGCGAGTATAGTTTTACCAACGCTCTTATATGGGTGTGAAGCATGGGTGATGAATGTTGCAGCGAGGAGAAGGCTGGAGGCAGTGGAGATGTCATGTCTGAGGGCAATGTGTGGTGTGAATATAATGCAGAGAATTCGTAGTTTGGAAGTTAGGAGGAGGTGCGGGATTACCAAAACTGTTGTCCACAGGGCTGAGGAAGGGTTGTTGAGGTGGTTCGGACATGTAGAGAGAATGGAGCGAAACAGAGTGACTTCAAGAGTGTATCAGTCCGTAGTGGAAGGAAGGCGGGTAGGGGTCGGCCTAGGAAAGGTTGGAGGGAGGGGGTAAAGGAGGTTTTGTGTGCGAGGGGCTTGGACTTCCAGCAGGCATGCGTGAGCGTGTTTGATAGGAGTGAATGGAGACAAATGGTTTTTAATACTTGACGTGCTGTTGAGTGTGAGCAAAGTAACATTTATGAAGGGGTTCAGGGAAACCGGCAGGCCGGACTTGAGTCCTGGAGATGGGAAGTACAGTGCCTGCACTCTGAAGGAGGGGTGTTAATGTTGCAGTTTAAAAACTGTAGTGTAAAGCACCCTTCTGGCAAGACAATGATGGAGTGAATGATGGTGAAAGTTTTTCTTTTTCGGGCCACCCTGCCTTGGCGGGAATCGGCCAGTGTGATAATAAATATAAAATAAAATATATATATATATATATATAATATATATTTATAATTTTATATATATATAAATAATTCTTAATATGTAAATGTAAATAAATGTAAATAAATGTAAAAATCAAAGGAAATCACTTAGAAGAACTTACATGCAACGTTCAAGGTAAAAATTTCCTCTATAGTGGCCAGAGGAAGACTTGGATTTTCCGCTCGACAGAGAAGCTGGCGACCGTGATGATGTCTTGTGGGTAATACGCTCAACACACTCACTGTCTCCTTGTCCTGTCTTGTCACCTGCAATTATCGGTGGTCTGCTTAATTTTTCCCCTCTGTGCGAGGGCTGAGAGAGAGATGCTGGCCTTTATCTGAAATCTTTATTGATAACTATCCTATTATTGATTTGTATGCAACAAGAAGAAGGTGATCAATAATGTACATGGGTCCAGGGACTGGGTCACAAAGTTGCAGTGTTATTTAGCTGTTTACATGGTTATATCTAGTCACAATAGTAATAAATTATTCAAGAAGACAGTGGAAGGCAGTTTTTGCTACTGTGATGTGAGTGACAACAAGTGAATGTCCGCCTCATTCACTCTTGTGGTTAAGAGACACGATAAGGTTGACCAGATAAAATAAGTGCCATGTGTACGTGGAGAAAACTTTACTGGCGAAATACCTTAAGGACAATAATGAGAAATAAGAGTTCCAGAAGAGTGGCTGAGAGCTGTTATGTACAGGTCAGAGAGCATCCATAGAGGGCCAACAAGAGCTTTACACAAAAGTAAGAATTCCTTCTTCTTACAGGTGAAATATAGCCAGAAAATACGACACAAAACACGAAATTTAAGTTTCCATGACAGACATCTTAGCCTAGCCGTGAAAATCCCGTCACCTCGGCCTGGATTTCGATCCGGCCAATAAAGACAATACGTTTCCCAATAAAACGAAAAGCTGAAAGGAATAAAAGAGAGCCTGAGCTGGCGCACAGTTAAGATAGGAAACTGGAGATAGCTTTCAGGAAGGGTCATTGAGATTGGCTTGCAAATGGAGCACTCAGAAGCCTGTCAAAAATATCTCCACACTGTCTCGACGACGACAACAGCCCTGTAACCATCAATCACTGGTCTTCAGAGTTTACGTTTGAAGACAGAGATTGATAACAATGTTGTTATATTATTACTGTTATTATTAGTAGTAGAAGCATTGGTAGTAGTATCAGTAGAATTAGTAGTAATAATATGAATTATTATTAGTTGTAGTAGTGAAGAAAAAATGATTAAACACTTGTGGCCATTAAAAAATGACGATAAAGAAATTCCAGTAACAGGACTGCAAACCCACAATAATCTCACCCTCTTAACTTAATTTCAGAATTTCATCTCATTTTAATTAACGATAAATGAATACTGTAATTATATAAAGAATATATTGCATGAAATTTACTGACCAATGCCATTGTTATGGAATGTTCTAAATTATCAGAACTCCGGAGAACAGGTTAATTATCAGAACACGTAAAATTATCAAGAAAATACGCAAATTAATAACTGCAAAGAATTCGTTTTAAAGTTTACTTGTCTTCAGTGTTCTCGTGAGAACATATCGGTACGTAAATATATGGGAATGCTTGTGAAAAGTGCTAAAATACACACACACACACACACACACACACACACACACACACACACACACACACACACACACACACACACACACACACACACACACACACACACACACACACACACACGACACTGGAGGACAGGAGGGTCAGGGGAGACATGATAACGACATATAAAATACTGCGCGGAATAGACAAGGTGGACAAAGACAGGATGTTCCAGAGAAGGGACACAGACACAAGAGGTCACAATTGGAAGTTGAAGACTCAGATGAATCAAAGGGATGTTAGGAAGTATTTCTTCAGTCATAGAGTAGTCAGGCCATGGAATAGCCTAGAAAGTGACGTAGTGGAGGCAGGAACCATACATAGTTTTAAGGCGAGGTATGATAGAGCTCATGGAGCAGGGAGAGAGAGGACCTAGTAGCAATCAGCAAAGAGGCAGGGCCAGGAGCTGTGGCTCGGCCCCTGCAACCACAAATAGGCGAGTAGAAATAGGTGAGTACACACACACACACACACACCAAGAGATGATGTTACCATGTACATCTTACAGGGAGATATAACAGGGAGGAATAACAGGGAGACATAACAGGATATATAACTACAAACGTTTTGAAAACAAAGAAAACTAGAACACAAACGACCCAACGGTATGGTAGAAAATGCTTCGGGGGCGAAACATAGACGTATATAAGAAGAAATACAAGGATGCACAACCCAGTATTTTGACTGTTTCGCTACTAAGCAGAGGTTTATAAAGCACTAAAGAGGAGGTTGTATATATTTGTACCTTTCTCAATAAACAAAATACACCAGTCTAATAATAATAATTATTATTATTATCATTATTTCTACAGGTACATAATAAAATGTATACAGACCTGACTGAAATCAGTCAGAGCAACGTAGGTTAATTCAGTCCTCAGATACAACCCACACCAGTCGACTAATACCCAGGTACCTACTTACTGCTAGGTGAACAGGGACAACAGGTGTTATAAGGACATATATTTCTACCTGTAGGGGCGATAGGGTTGTGGATCAAGGTAGATGGGGCAGTAATAAAGGCAAATTTAATATTCAGTGTAAAATCAAGAAACACCTCAGGGTAATAGGAGTTATTAATGACAGTGTGTTTCAAGCCTCGACTACCATGCTAGCACAAATTGGCTAGTACACACGTAATTCTAGGTGAATGGAGATATCTTCTCTCCATCTGCGTTCATTCTTCTACTACTATTCCTTCTTCATTCACAGACGTCTCAACGTCAACCTGATGAGGCTACCAATTTGCCCCGAAATTGGTGGGGAGAAATATGAGCTGTAATTGTTAATGAGAAAACCATAAACTGATAGTTTTATTTTTCTCTTTCTCTCTCTGGAGGTGATGTGTTGGGGATGTGTTGGGGATGTGTTGATGTCACGGTCATATTTTTGTATTATCGTTGGTGAATCGTGATGTTATGTTGATTGTGGATGAAGTGATGAAGTCACCTATTAAGAATTGCCTTTTTGAGTGTGTGGTGAACGCCATTAAAATCTATGTTCACCCATCAGTAAATGGAGTACCTGGGTGTTAGTCGACTGGTGTGGGTCGCATCCTGGGACACTGACCTAATTTCCCCGATTTAAGTGGAAAAATTAAATTCCCTAAATATTTCTTCAATCAAAATTTTTTAAAATATTAAACTGGAGATTATTATTTCTTTGAAACTGGTGAGTCTTTTAATTGTGTGTGCGTCGTTTTGAACTTGTGTGTGACGTCCGTTTTTGAACTTGTGTGTGACGTCCGTTTTTGAACTTGTGTGTGACGTCCGTTTTTGAACTTGTGTGTGACGTCCGTTTTTTGAACTTGTGTGTGACGTCCGTTTTTGAACTTGTGTGTGAGTCCGTTTTTGAACTTGTGGTGACGTCGTTTGAATGTGTGACGTCCGTTTTTTAACTTGTGTGTGACGTCCGTTTTTTAACTTGTGTGTGACGTCCGTTTTTGAACTTGTGTGTGACGTCCGTTTTTGAACTTGTGTGTGACGTCCGTTTTTGAACTTGTGTGTGACGTCCGTTTTGACGGTCTCGTTGTTCAATTATTTTTTTCTATTTGTTTACCAATGTTGTGGAGGTGTTCTGTTGTCTCTGAATCTCATGTGAGTGTGTAATTTCCAACTGACCTATCTATTATGTGTAGTATTTTGTATGCAGTGAATATATCCCTTCCAATTCTTTATTTTACATATAATTGAAAGTCTAGCTCCTTCAGTTTTCTTAGATATTCCCCTTAACTCAAGCACCTGTGTGAAAGTATTCTTTTCAGTATTATCGAGTTATGCTACGGTCAGGTGATGGCTTCACACTGGTGCTGCGTACTCAGTATCAGGCATCATATGCAAAATGTGGGTATCGTTTATTGTAGAGATTTCAGGCAACTAGTGATGTTTGTTCAATTCATTGCAGATATACACAGTAATGAGAAGATGTCTCTGTTTAGCGATACCTGTTCCTGATAAATATACCTTGGTGCTGTGACTTATTTATAATCTTGACGGCATTGTATACCTTTAATGATTCATAAGGCCTGGTGACGGACCGGGCCAGGGGGGGGGGACGTTGACCCCTGGAACCCTATCCAGGTATACTCCAGGTATATATCCGGTTTAAACTATTCTTTTCTCTATATTTTATTTACTATAAGTATATGTACAAGGTATACAGACCATAGCTGACATCAATGACATATTACTCTATAGAAGCCCCTTGTTATGCTGAGCATTTCGGGTAAATTAGGTCAGTGTCCCGGGATGCGACCCACACCAGGCCACTAACACCCAGGTACCCATTTTACTGATGGGGAACATAGACAACAGGTGGAAAGAAACACGCCCAATGTTTCTACTCTGGCTGGGAATCGAACCCAGGCCCTCACCGTGTGAAGCGAGAGCTGTAACCACCAGGCCACCAGATTTGATGATCAATGAAAGTATCTAAGGGAGGATATCTGCTCCTTATCTTAATATTCTCGGTAATATTCCATCTGGCCCTGATGCCTTTGATGTGTCAAGCTCCATTACGAACCCCTCACTTACTCATTAGTCATTTCAATGATTAATAGTTCCACTTAGTTTATCATCCCTTTCATCAACGGTTCTGGCCCCTTACTCTCTCCATAAAAGCAGACTGATGAGATCAATGCGCACTTTCCTGTCAGTTTAAGTGTTCCATAATCTTTTTCAAGTGTCGTCATTTGATATGATAGTTTTCTTGAGGTTCGGCTGTGATGCTGTGTTGGTTATGTCTTTGACTTGGTTGCTATGTTCAATTGATTTTCTGTTTCCCTCCACACACGTGGCTGTTTTACCAGCTTTTCTGTTCTCTGGAAATAGATTTCTTCTTAATTTAATTATATTGTGATCCTGGTTTTCTGGCGTTACATTGAGATTCGAATCATTTGTTCCTTTACAAGAATCTATGTAAGAGGTTTCCGAAGCAATTATCTGTTTTAATTATAGATTACAGATATGTTGTTTTTCTTACGTGACTTGTTTGCCTCTGGCGATATGTTTGGTGTAATGTTCACTCCCAGTTCCTTATCGTTTCGTGAGTTTTTTTATTTGATGATAATGAGTTCTTTTAGTAATGTGTTCGTTAGGAAAATATTGGTGAATTGGTTTATTAAGTGTACAGTGTATTAGTCCAGTAATTACACTGTGTTTGTAATTCATAAGTTTGTGGAAGTGTGCTGTATATAATGACTAAAACACACTGTATGTAACACATAGGAGTGCCCCTTGGCCTGGTGGCAAAAGCTCTCGTTTCACACGGTAAGGGTCCGGGTTCGATTCCCGGCAAATGGGGGAAAACATTGAACGTGTTTCCTTACACCGGTTGTCTATGTCACCCATCAGTAAAAGGGGTACCTGAGTGTTAGTGGACTGGTGTGGGTCGCATCCTGGGACAAAACTGACCCAATTTTCCCGAAATTCCCTGCTTAACAAGCGGCTTTCTATATAGTAGTATGTCATTGATGTCAACTATGGTCTGTATAAGTTGTATCATGTACTTGTAATAAATATTATTATTATTACTATTATTATTATTATTATTATTATTATTATTTTTATTATTATTACTTTACCTTTGCACAAGCTGTACCGTCACGTATTACTAGTTTATGTTTAAACTGGACGAGACAATTTGACAAAATCCAATGTGGTATAAATCACTACGTAATTAGAACTAAACATAGTGGTTTTAGTGAAAAACGTCGATAAATACTGATTAGTGTTTTTCCTCACTGTTTTCTTTTAACAAGAAACTAGAGATGAGGACAGAAAAGAATACCAATAACAAAAATTTGTACATTGAAATCACTTCACAGTTTGTAAGACTGAAAATAATTAACTCGAGTAGGGATTTTCAGTGAAACAATATTGTAATTATGCAAGTTTGTGTGCCACCGTTGATAGAGATTCGATACCTCACACCATTGGGGTTTGTAACACCTTCTTCTTCCTGCAAAAATCTTGATTAGTTGCCAAATCAGATCAGTTGATCTCGATAAGCAAAAAATAAGGTTCTCAGATCTGAAATCCTTTCCACCTTTTAGTGCAGGCGGAAAGATTATTAAACCTCAGAGAGACAGATTTGTTTCCAGTGAAACAGTGATTTTAAAGGTTTCCTCAACACAACAGGTTTTAAGGTTTGCCTCAACACAACAGATTTTAAGGTTTGCCTCAACACAACAGATTTTAAGGTTTGCCTCAACACAGATTTTAAGGTTTACCTCAACACAACAGATTTTAAGGTTTACCTCAACACAACAGATTTTAAGGTTTGCCTCAAAACAGATTTTAAGGTTTGCCTCAACACAACAAATTTTAAGGTTTACCTCAACACAACAGATTTTAAGGTTTGCCTCAACACAACAGATTTTAAGGTTTACCTCAACACAACAGATTTTAAGGTTTGCCTCAACACAACAGATTTTAAGGTTTGCCTCAACACAACAGATTTTAAGGTTTGCCTCAACACAACAGATTTTAAGGTTTGCCTCAACACAACAGATTTTAAGGTTTGCCTCAACACAACAGATTTTAAGGTTTACC